GAGGTCACTGGGTCTAAGGTCAAGGTCACAGGGGCATTGATTAAAAAAAACTTATCTGCCCTATAACTTAAGATTCTTTTGACCCACAGATGAGTTAATGACCCCTTTTGATTTTGAGGTCACTGGGTCAAAGGTCAAGGTCACAGAGGCCTTGACTATATAAAGCTTGTTCGTCCAATAAGTTAAGATACCTTTCACCCACATTCTTCATATTTGGCATGGAGGTTAGACATGATTAGTAGATGACCCTTATTGATTTTGAGGTCTTTGGGTCAAAGGAAAAGGTCACAGGGGCCTTTAGCTCAAAAAGCTTGTCTGCTAAATTGTGTAACAATGCTTTGGCAAGCAGTCTTCATATTTGGTATTGTGGTTGGTTATGACTAGTGGATGACCCCTATTGATTTTTAGGTGACTGTGTCAAAGGTCAAGTTCACAGGGGCTTTTACTACAATAAGTTTATCCGCTCAAATGCTTAAGAATGCATGTCTTAAGTGTTTTTGACATTTTCACATTCATCATAAAACACCCCCAGGCAAAGCTGCATGAATGGCGGTATTCAAGTCATGCAGTGGCAGTTTCAGTTTTGAGGTCAAAGGTAAGGTCACTTTGACCTTTGCCACAAAAAACATGTAGAATACATAATTTAGCAATGCACTGGCTTACTACCCTCAAATTTGGCAGGGAGGTTCTCCTTGAGCTTTAAATGATCACTGTTGATTCTGACAAAGTGGTATGCGGGGTACTCACGCCATGACAGTGGCAGTTCTAGTTTTTCATACTTAATTTTTCACCTGAGTGGATCATAACTCAAAAAGTCTTTGAAATCTTAACATGAAACTTTATAGGTGGATTTATCTTATTGAGGAGGAATGCTGTGCACAAGAATGATAACTCTATCCTTTATAATTTTTGAGTTATTGCCCTTTGTTATTTTTTATACTTTTTGCAAAAAATGTTAGAGGTATCAACTTGAAACTTCATAGGTGGGTAGATCTCATTGAGGAGGAGTGCAGCACACAAGAATGATTACCTACCCTGCATATTTTTCAGTTATTGCCCTTTGTTATTTTCAGCCATCAGTATTCCATAGGTTTCAAATCTGTAATCACTTCAGCCATCAGTTTTCATTACCAAAAGACCTCTTTGAATTGAATTATTCTGCTTTGCTACATATACATTCTTCCAATGAGCAAACACATTCGGCGGGGGATGGCCATGTTAATATGGCTCTTGTTGTGTCACCTTGAAAAAGGCGACATATAGGGGTTGCTTTTGTTGGCGTCTGCGTCCCCTTAAGCTTGTCCGCAGCATAAGTCAGTCATTATAAGTCGGATTTACTTCAAACTTGGTATGCATGCTTCTTATAATGACCCGAAGTGCAGTGCACAAGAACCGGTACTCTGTACTTCTTAATTTTTGAGTTATTGCCCTTTGTTAATTTTCATACTTTATTTTTGTCCGGGCCATTTCTCCTCAAGTATAAAAGCTATGGACATGAAACTTCATAGGATGATAGATCTCATTAAGAAGAAGTGCAGTGCACAAGAACCGGTACTCTGCATTTCTTTTTTTAGCTCAGCTGAGCTTGCTCAGGGTGAGCTTTTACGATCGGTGAATGTCCGTCCACAATTGCTTGTGAACACTCTAGCGGTCGCATTTTTGCCTCAATCATCATCAAACTTGGTCAGGATGCTTATCTAGTTGAAAGCTCGGATGAGTTCGAACATGGCTCATCTCGGATGAAAAACTAGGTCACAAGAGCTAAAAATAGAAAAACCTTGTGAACACTCTAGAGGTCACATTTTTGACCCAATCATCATCAAACATTGTCAGGATGTTTGTCTAGGTGATAGCTCGGATGAGTTCGAACATGGGTCATCTCGGATGAAAAAGTAGGTCACAGGAGCTATAAATAGAAAAACCTTGTGAACACTCTAGTGGTCACATTTTTGAACCAATCATCATCAAACTTGGTCAGAATGCTTGTCTAGTCAATTGCTTGGATGAGTTCGAACATGGGTCATCTCTGATGAAAAACTAGGTCACAGGAGCTAAAAATAGAAAAACCTTGTGAACACTCTAGTGGTCACATTTTTGACCCAATCATCATCAAACTTTGTCAGGATGCTTGTTTAGATAATAGCTCGGATGAGTTCGAATATGGGTCATCTCGGATGAAAAACTAGGTCACCGGAGCTATAAATAGAAAAACCTTGTTAACACTCTAGTGGTCACATTTTTGACCCAATCATCATCAAACTTTGTCAGGATGCTTGTTTAGATAATAGCTCGGATGAGTTCGAATATGGGTCATCTCTGATGAAAATCTAGGTCACAGGAGCTAAAAATAGAAAAACCTTGTTAACACTCTAGCGGTCACATTTTTGCATCAATCATCATCAAACTTGGTCAGGATGCTTGTCTAGGTGATAGCTCGGATGAGTTCGAACATGGGTCATCTCGGATGAAAAAGTAGGTCACCGGAGCTAAAAATAGAAAAACCTTGTTAACACTCTAGTGGTCACATTTTTGCATCAATCATCATCAAACTTGGTCAAGATGCTTGTCTAGGTGAGAGCTCGGATGAGTTCGAACATGGGTCATCTCGGATGAAAAAGTAGGTCACCGGAGCTAAAAATAGAAAAACCTTGTTAACACTCTAGCGGTCACATTTTTGCATCAGTCATCATCAAACTTGGTCAAGATGTTTGTCTAGGTGATAGCTTGGATGAGTTTGAACATGGGTTCTCTCAGATGAAAAAGTAGGTCACCGGAGCTAAAAATAGAAAAACCTTGTTAACACTCTAGCGGTCACATTTTTGCATCAATCATCATCAAACTTGATCAAGATGCTTGTGTAGGTGATAGCTCGGATGAGTTCGAACATGGGTCATCTCGGATGAAAAACTAGGTCGCAGGAGCTAAAAATAGAAAAACCTTGTTAACACTCTAGTGGTCACAATTTTGACTCAATTGTCATCAAACTTGGTCAGGAAACTTGTCTAGGTCATTGCTGGGAATAAATCTAACATGGGACATCTCAGATGAAAAACTAGGTCACAGGAGCTAAAAATAGAAAAATCTTGTTAACACTCTAGTGGCTACTGTTGTGATCCAAATATTCTGTTAATTGGTCTTAAAGTTTGTTTTGATGATTTCTAAGTCAAGATCGAACATGGGTCATCTTGGATGAAAAACTAGGTCACAAAGCCCAAATATGGAAAAACCTTGTTAACATTCTAGTGGTCACATTTTCGACTCAATTATCATCAAACTTGGTCAGGATGCTTGTCTAGGTAATTGCTTGGATGAGTTTGAAATCGCATGTGAAACTAGGTCACCGGAGCTAAAAATAGAAAAATCTTGTAAACACTCTAGTTGCTACTGTTTTGATCCAAGTATCCTGGAAATTGGTCTGAAAGTTTGTTTTGATGATTTCTAGGTCAAGTTTGAATATGTGTCACCTGGGTAAAAAACTAGGTCGCACTGCTCAAATATGGATAATCCTTGTTAACACTGTAGTGGTCACATTTTTGACTCACCTGTCATGAGTCTTGGTCAGAATGCTTGTCTAGGTAATTGTTTGGATGAGTTTGATAAGTCAGGTGAGCGATCTAGGGCCATCATGGCCCTCTTGTTTTGAGTTATTGCCCTTTGTTTATTTTCATACTTTATTTTTGTCCGGGCCATTTCTCCTAATGTATAAAAGCTATGGACTTGAAACTTCATAGGATGATAAATCTCATTAAGAAGAAGTGCAGTGCACAAGAACTGGTACTCTGCATTTCTTTTTATGCCCCCGGGCATATAGTGATTGAACCGTCCGTCCGTCCGTCTGTCTGTACGAGGATAACCTAGAACGGCAAGTTGGATTTTTAGCTCACCTTGCACATAGTGCAGGTGAGCTTTTAGGATGGCCATTCAAAAGCGTCCGGCGTCCGTCCACATTTTATTTAAAGGACATCTTCTATAATACCACTTGGCCAATATTAATGAAACTTGGCAGGAATACTCTTTGTATGAAGCTCTATCAAGATTGTTCAAAGAATGCCATTCCATGCTAAACTCTGGTTGCTATGGCAACTAAAAGAAAAAGCTTAAAAGTTCTTATACTTCAAAATGGAAAGGGCTAGAGCTTAGATATTTCTCACAAGGCATGAGCTTGTTGGTTTCTACAAAGTATAATCAGATTATGGTCTACAGTTGAAAATTGGTCTCTGTTTTGGGGGTTAAAGGTTTTTTTTATTGCAAGATTGTATAAACTGTCTTTGTAGGGATAAATTGAGAGTGTATCTTGTATTTTTTGTCTCAACAGACATTGTTTTGAGGATTTTTTCTGTTAAAGCATTAGAAAGATGAAAATGTTGTTGAATGTGAATGTTAATTCAAAACAAAGTCAATCAGAATAGCCCCAATTTCAGAGATACAGTGTAGTTGATTTCCCCATTCAACAATGGATTCTCCCTTTAATTTCGTAACATCATCAGAAAGGAGACTGTGTCATTTCCGAAATAAAATGCAATGTATTTTGGTTCTTGACATTGACTTGCACATTTTATTGTGTAAGATATTGCACAAAGAAACGAAAGTGAACAAAAAATGTTGTATTTTTTCACAAAAAATAGCTTATTAAGATAAAAGTTTAATTTACAGTGCGGATATTACTTAAATTCTTCCTTCCGGTTTGCGGGAAAAATCATATATTTCAACATTGTGTACACCGGTCTTACTGAATCTGCTGAACGATTTATGACATAATATTTCATTCTGATTATAAACATACAATTCAAATCATTAAATAATAGATATCAATCAGTCCTGAGTCTTAGAAAACATCTGTATCAATCTGACCTATAAACTAAACTAAACTGGAATTAGGACAAAATGGCGGCCTTGAACAAGGAAATTGAGAAATTTTGTAACATAAATTCGTATTTCAAAACAAAGAAGTGAAGATGACAACAATTATCGGTGTGCTTCGTTGAAACAGGTATTTTTTTTAACTATTTGTGAAGTATTAAGGGATGACATTTAGTATTTATGTAAATATCACCTCCCGTGATATGATTTCTAAAATTATACATGTTTACACCGTCTCATTTCGGCGATCTCCGAGGTCAATTTACTGAATGGCGTAAATCCGATGAGAAATCGGGAAGGGTGTGTGTGCATTCCTCATTAATTAGCGTGTGCACATTGCCTGATAGTACTTGATATATATATTAAAATAAATTTGTCCATCTCAGACCCGTTTGTATACGAATCAAAACAATTACAATACGGAGATTGCCGATGAAAAATTGAGCTAGAATATATAAGATCAGATTTGATTGGTCGTCCTTAATTTTACCAGCCAATGAAATCGTTTGTTGTATAGTCACTTGATGTCAAAATACATGTACAAATACAATGACAACAACAGTGAAGTGTTTACCGCCTGGTTATCTGAAAAAGGGTGCAAAAAACAAATGGAGGTGGGAGTGGTTAGCGGAAAAGGACTCTAAAGGTGAAAAATGGGATGCTTGGTTGAAAAAACCAAATGACATGGGCTTTTGTGAAGTCTGTTCCAAAACGATCATCTAGACAAATCGAACAGAAAAAAGGTGCTTCTTAATCACGATGAGCTGAAGATGAGGACCACTAAAAGAATCTTAGACCAAGTAAGATCATTTCTCTGTGTAGTTTAGCCACTATCTAGAGTAAGCCACGAAAAGAGGTTTAGTTGTGCATTGTGTAGTTAATAAACAATGCACATTACCCCACCCTCTTTTTCTTCTGTCTTCCCCCAACTTTCATGTGGTCTGGGCAAGGGTTGGGGGTTGAATTAAAAAATGGCCTTGTGCAGGGGAACCTATGCCCAAATTTTTAATAGGTCTTGAGATTTTTTTTTCCAGCTTCATATTATTTTAAGGATAAGAACACGATTTTCTTTATCTATGCAGAGCTCCAGATAGCGTGCGTATAAGCGTAAAATACGCATAGAAAATCTAAAATACGCATCACTTTCAAAATTTGTGCGTCACAGTTACGCACAACAAAATGAAAATACGCTTGTATGTCAAAAATTAAGCGTGAAGGAATTGAAGTGTAAACATTTGATATTGAGAAAGAGGATGTTTTGAGCATAAAAAATACAATATATTTCCATTTTACTAAAAATTCTGTTGTCAAAAACGAAAGTAGCAGGAAGTACAGAAGGGAGGTAACTCCATAGATCTACCTGTGAATTTATTGATAAAATTTGTACCAGATAATCATCGTAGTCGTTAACATAGTATAAAGTTTGTTTAGGCATCTATTGACATGCTTATGACTCAATATAAACGAAAATATATTTTAATTTCCTTCACTTGTTGTTGCAACAAAATAACATGTTTTTCACCTGCAGTTTTTACTCAATATTTTCGTACCCAGTCTGCATTTACGGACAATTTTCTCTCAGACCAATACTTCTTTTTAGGAAAGATAAAAAAATCTTGTTTATTATTTTCTAATTCTAATTTTAACAATAATTGTTCAGACTGGAGTACATGATAAGGTACGTGCCAACAGAAATAAAGAAAGAAAAATATTGACTCTTAGAAAATAAAATAATTTCAGTGCTTCCACTAGTGGAAGCTAAGGAGTCATTTACTCCTTCATTTTGGCCTGTGACTTCCGGAAATCTAATACGTTTCGTTCATTACCTATATAATGTGACTTCCATTATCAGAAATTTTGAAGTCTTTTACTTCCAAATTTTGAAAAGGGAAGCCCTAATAATTTTGCTGTGTATCCTAAACTTGAGTTCCAGTATACTCTGAAAGTCTGACTTTACAGGGCATGTTTTGTATTGTTTCACATTGAATCAGTATTTTATTTGTAAAGGTTTTTCTAAAAAAAGAAAAATAAACAAACAAACAAACAAAAACAATAAGTTTAATTTATTTATAAAAAATGCAAAATGCTTTTTTGACAGATTTTACCCCTTACGTTTTTCAGATTTTGCATTTTACCCCTCACTCAAAATTTTGAGGGGTAAAAACCCCTTGGCCAAAAAAATTATCTGGAGCTCTGTCTATGTTTTTTTTTAGTTTGATTATCTCCTTGTTTCCAAACTAAATTGACAATTTATGAGTTTGATATTTTATTTGATATGTTTTCATACATCTTTTATTTGAAAATTGTCTTTTTCAAGTACTGCCAGGCTCATCAAAAGCTGTGGACAAAAAGATTGAAAGTATGCAAGATCGCATTGCCAAACAAAGAGCAATCACAACTGCCTTTCTTAGTGAACATTGACTGCCATTTTCCATAGCAGGCGATCTCTAACATCTTGCCAAACGTTTAACTGAAGACAAGCCTGCTCTTGAAAAAACTACTCTTTCTCCAACCAATGTACATAACAACACATGGTGTAGCCAAATCTGTTAAGGATGGAGTGAAGTCAAAAGTGAAAGATAAGTTAATATCTTTGAATATGGATGAGGCAACTAACAAAAAACAATAACAAAGTACTGAATATAATCTTTCAGTACTTTGATAATGAAACTAGTCAAGTAGTAATGGATCATTTAGGATTGAGAATTCAAAATGATTCCACATCTGAAGAAATTGTCAAGTCAGTTGAAAGTGTGCTGCATCAACAAGTGGAAGACAATGGAAAAAATTAAATTTAAGATATGAAATTGAAAATAGTAAAAAGAATGAACATAATTTGTTATGTGGAATGTGTATATATTGCTTAAATAGTATTGCTCAGTGAATTTGTGTATATTTTAACATATCAGATTAATTACATCTGAAGATAAATAAAGCACTTGAGTATGTATTTGAGCCTTTTTTTGAACTTTTAAATTCACTAAATTGCAAAAGCTTCTGAGGGCCTCCAGCCCCCTGAACCCCTAGCCAGGGTGTTGCCCTGGACCCACCGGGGGCCCTAGCGGCCCCCTGGTCCCCAACTTTTTCTTTCAGTATTTTCAGTTTCTGTAACTTTTACCCCTGCATGTACACATGTGTTTATCACCTCAATAAATGTAAGTGAAAATGGAACAATAATTATGGTAATTATCCATGGTGCTAGAAATACTTAATTATCTTTATCATCATGTTAACTAAGCAAGAAGCTTATAATTGCGTAATCTTACAATAGTTATCAATTTAAACTTGAAAATCTACTCTAAATGACTTCCCAAACAGTAAGTTCTAAAAACATGAAAATGATTCGTGTAGAAAAATAACACAAGAAAAAACTGATTTGACTCATGAAAATTTTTGGCCAAACAGTCTGCCACGTGAAATTCTGACCTTCCTGAGATCCCTGCTGTTTGTTTTTTTTAATAACATTTTACATGATTTAATTTTATGATTAAACCTGTGTATAGAGCCACTCATGTGCAGAGCTGCATCAGTACTAAGGGTGTAGTACTTAAGTACCAGTACCAGTACTTGGCAAATTATGCAGTACCATTACCAGTACCAGTACTAGATTTTAGCTCGGTACTGCAGTACCAGCACTTTTTTTGGTGAAGTAATTAATTATCAGTACCATTACTTTTATATATTCATCAAAGTTTGAATAGATACTGTGTCAAACAAATAAATTCAAATATTATTCAGCAAAGAAATAAAATCATAATTTACTTTAAAGCTGTGCAGCATGCCTCCAGATGACCCAAAATATTTCAAGAAAATTTAACTTGGAAAAAAATTACTAAAACTTTGAGAAAAGTAAACAAATTAAAGATTCAAGTGATAATTTATATCTTATGTGCAATTAATGACTGTATTTTGTAGTATTTATCACCATATTTCTTCTGCGTTACTAAGGCAGTAGGGGCTATTTATGCATGTTTTGACCTCTTTTTGGTAATTTACGTGGATTTTAAGTGCCGATTGTAATGTGTCTAGTACTTTCTTTGTTCATGAAACAATATTTTACCTTTAAATACATTTTCAAAATGTTCATGAAAATTAGTATGAATCTGGAGGTGTGCTGCTTTAAAGTTAACATAACATATTTACACGGATTTATATTACAATGTAATATAAATCCGTGATATTTACAACAGTTTTAACATACTTTTTACAAACAATATTTACAACATATATTCATGTCATATCTAATTGTTTAGTAACCAGTCAACTGTATAAATACAATGCAAACAACTTTCATTTAAAACACAACAGTCTTTTGTTGCCTTTCACACCTCTGTTCAATTAATACCAAAGTAAATAACAACTTTTTATGGTGCTAACAATATCACTTTTTTCACTTGAAATGGGATTTTTTAGAATAGAAGAAATTAATTATGTCTCCCCCACCTCGGGGGGAGACATATTGTTTTTGCCCTGTCTGTCCGTCAGTCCGTCCGTCCGTCCGTCAGTCCGTCCATTCTTCGTTTCCGGACGATAACTAGAGTTCCTTTTGACCTACAGCTCTCAAACTTCATAGGATGAATGGTCTTATTGAGCAGATGATCCCTATTGTTTTTGGGGTCAGTAGTTCAAAGGTCAAGGTCACAGTGACCGTTGGTCAATTTCTCGTTTCCGGATGATAACTAGAGTTCCTTTTGACCTACAGCCCTCAAACTTCATAGGATGATTGGTCTTATAGAGCTGATGATCCCTATTGTTTTTGGGGTCAGTAGGTCAAAGGTCAAGGTCACAGTGACCGTTGGTCAATTTCTCGTTTCCGGATGATAACTAGAGTTCCTTTAGACCTACAGACCTCAAACTTCATAGGATGATTGGTCTTATTGAGCAGATGATCCCTATTGTTTTTGGGGTCAGTAGTTCAAAGGTCAAGGTCACAGTGACCGTTGGTCAATTTCTCGTTTCCGGATGATAACTAGAGTTCCTTTTGACCTACAGCCCTCAAACTTCATAGGATGATTGGTCTTATAGAGCAGATGATCCCTATTGTTTTTGGGGTCAGTAGGTCAAAGGTCAAGGTCACAGTGACCGTTGGTCAATTTCTCATTTCCGGATGATAACTAGAGTTCCTTTTGACCTACAACCCTCAAACTGGGGGGAGACATATTGTTTTTGCCCTGTCCGTCCGTCAGTCCGTCCGGCCGTCAGTCCGTCCGTCCATTCTTCGTTTCCGGACGATAACTAGAGTTCCTTTTGACCTACAGCTCTCAAACTTCATAGGATGAATGGTCTTATTGAGCAGATGATCCCTATTGTTTTTGGGGTCAGTAGTTCAAAGGTCAAGGTCACAGTGACCGTTGGTCAATTTCTCGTTTCCGGATGATAACTAGAGTTCCTTTTGACCTACAGCCCTCAAACTTCATTGGATGATTGGTCTTATAGAGCTGATGATCCCTATTGTTTTTGGGGTCAGTAGGTCAAAGGTCAAGGTCACACTGACCGTTGGTCAATTTCTCGTTTCCGGATGATAACTAGAGTTCCTTTAGACCTACAGACCTCAAACTTCATAGGATGATTGGTCTTATTGAGCAGATGATCCCTATTGTTTTTGGGGTCAGTAGTTCAAAGGTCAAGGTCACAGTGACCGTTGGTCAATTTCTCGTTTCCGGATGATAACTAGAGTTCCTTTTGACCTACAGCCCTCAAACTTCATAGGATGATTGGTCTTATAGAGCAGATGATCCCTATTGTTTTTGGGGTCAGTAGGTCAAAGGTCAAGGTCACGGTGACCGTTGGTCAATTTCTCATTTCCGGATGATAACTAGAGTTCCTTTTGACCTACAACCCTCAAACTTCATAGGATGATTGGTCTTATTAATCAAATGATCCCTATTGTTTTAATGGTCAGTAGGTCAAAGGTCAAGGTCACAGCGACCGTTGGTTAATTTCTCCTTTCCGGATGATAACTAGAGTTCCTTTAGACCTACAACCCTCAAACTTCATAGGATGATTGGTCTTATTGAGCAGATGATCCCTCTTGTTTATGGGGTCAGTAGGTCAAAGGTTAAGGTCACAGTGACCATTGGTCATTTTCTCATTTCCGGATGATAACTAGAGTTCTTATCAGTGAGGACATTTAACTATTATTGATATATCAGTGATATATCAGTTGTCTGGTTTTATATACTCTGTTCTTTTATCTCCATTTCCATTCCTGTTTCCATTCACAGTTATTCTCAGCAGTGGGGGAGACATGCGCTTTTTTACAAAAGCATCCTCTAGTTAGTGTTTATTTTTCTCTTTTACTAGTAAATACAAAGTAATAAAAGATTTTAATAAGAATATTTTAGGGTAAAGAGTTATTGAGTCTGTTTATCTTAATTTAATTTTTACTTAAAGTCTTTGGTGCTTTTTATGATGAATACTATGTTAACATTTGAAGGAATATCGCAGCAAATTATCTTTAGATTTGATAACTTACTTTTTCCCATAAATAAAATATAGTTAATGTAATTTACAGCTTTATTTTATGAGAAAAATTGATGTTATTTTTAATTTTTATAAAAACCAAAAGTACTGGGTAATGCAGTAGCAGTACCACTTTTTAAGACAGTAATGCAGTACCAGTACCAGTAGTAGCAAAATTTTGTAAGAGTAATTCAGTATCAGTACTTGCAAAATCGCTGCAGTACATACTGCAGTACCAGTACCAGTACCAGTAATGCAGCTCTGCTCATGTGAACAGGAAAAAGTTTTTGTAGAAAGGGATGTCCTAATATGATAAACCATAGATGCTTGTGGGTTAGATCCTGTCCCCAACATGATACCCCTGAGTAAACACTTTTATCAAAAATTATTTTAATATTTAAACACTAATGGGATATCTGGTACAACTATAATACTGGTTTTCGAAAAATTTTACATAATCATATGCAAAAAATAAACTGTTTACCATCATGTATTGAGACTTGATTCCGGGCAGGCAGGCGAATTGGTTGGGCCATTTTTAGCTCGACTTTTTTTTTTTTTTTTTAAAGTAGAGGTATTGTTATAGTCGGGTCGGCGTTGCCGATGCCGTTGCCGTCCGCAAACTTGTAGCTGGATCATAACTTTTTTATTTCTTGGTGTATTGTCTTCATACTTGGCCACAACAACCCTTGGGACAAGACCTTTCAGTAGACCAAACTAACCTTGACCTTCATCCATAAATGACCTTGACCTTCAAGGTTAAAAGTCCAATTTTTGCTTGTTCATGCTGTTATTGGCTGTAACTTTGTTATTTTTGAATGGATTGTCTTCAAACTTGACCATAATAATCTTCAAGGATATCCCTTAAAAATAACCAGCAAGACCTTGACCTTCACTCATAAATGACCTTGACTTTGAAGGTCAAATTATTGAAATTTCATTTTTTTGGCTATTATTGGCTGTAACTTTGTTATTTTTGAATGGATTGTCTTCAAACTTGAACATAATTATCTTCAGGGATATCACTTAAAAATAACTAGACAGACCTTGACCTTCACTCATAAATGACCTTGACTTTGAAGGTCAAATTATTGAAATTTTCATTTTTTTTGGCAATTATTGGCTGTAACTTTGTTATTTTTGAATGGATTGTCTTGAAACTTGAACATAATTATCTTCAAAGATAACTGTTAAAAATATACCGAAAGACCTTGACCTTCACTCATTAATGACATTGTCTTTGAAGGTCAAATTATTGAAATTTTCATTGTTTTGGCGGTAACTGACTGTAACTTTGCTATTATTGAAGGGATCAACTTCATATTATAACAGAACATTCTTAAGGACCAGACCTTGTTGTTTATCAAACCCAAATTTGCTTAGGCTCTTTAATGACCTTGACCTTGAAGGTTAAATTACTGAATTTTCTCAGATTTGTGCATTAAATGACCATAATTATATATTTATTGGTGTGTGTGTGTTTGTATATATATATATTTACAACAACAACAACAAGAATTGCATAATGTTTCTATTTATAGAATTGCGTCATTGTTTCTATTTATAGAAATTGCGTCATTGTTTCTATTTTTAGAAATTGCGTCAGCGTCATTGTTGCTATTTTTAGAAATTGCGTCATAATGCTATTTTTAGAAATTGCGTCAATGTTTCTATTTTTAGAAATTGCGTCATTGTTTCTATTTTTAGAAATTGCGTCAATGTTTCTATTTTTAGAAATTGCGTCATAATGCTATTTTTAGAAATTGCGCAATGTTGCTATTTTTAGAAATTGCGTAATGTTTCTATTCATATATATATACAAAATATATAAACAAAACTAATGTGACAAGTCAGACCAACTAAATTTATAAAAAGGAAACGTTAAGATATGTTCAAACCTTTCTATGTTTGCGTTTAGAAAAAGTAAAATGTCAAGCGTTGCCCCCGCCCGGCGGTGGCTCTTGTTGGTAACAGTTTTCTCAGCAACTACTATACAGAACCTCATAATATTCTGTATACAGCATTAACACATTGTCCCATACCATGGGATTGGATTTCAGGTCTGTGACTCATCCACTTCATGTTAACTGACTTAGTTAAATTCATAATAATGGTCAATGGTAGGAATTTTTTCTAACAATTTTCTCAGCAACTACTTATCACAGCCTCTTGATATTTGGTATACAGCATCAACATGTAATCACAGACAATGAGATATGATTTCAGGTATGTGGCTCATCCACTTCCCGTTTGATGACTTAGTTAAATTTTCGGCATTAATTGTCCCCCGCCTTTTCAAAGAAAAAAAGGGGATATAGAAATAGGCTCCGTCCGTCTTTCCGTCCGTCTGTCCGTCCGTCACACTTTCGTGTCCGGTCCATAACTTTGTCATTTATTGAAGGAATCTGAAATAACTTGGCACAAATGTTTGTTATAATAAGACGATGTGTCATGCGCAACAACCAGACCCCTACCTCCAGGGTCAAGGTCGCACTTGCTCATTCAAGGTCAACATTGTCTATTTGAGGGTATATGTCGTGTCCGTTCCATAACTTTTTAGCTCACCTGTCACAAAGTGACAGGGTGAGCTTTTGTGATCGCTTTTCGTCCGGCGTCCGTCCGTCCGTCCGGCGTCCGTCCGTAAACTTTTGCTTTAAATGACATCTCCTCATAAACCACTGAGCCAATTTCATCCAAACTTCACAGGAATGTTCCTTTGGTGGTCACCTTTAAAATTGTTCAAAGAATTTAATTCCATGCAGAACTCTGGTTGCCATGGCAACCGAAAGAAAAATCTTTAAATATCTTCTTTTAAACAACCCTAAGAGCTAGAGCTTAGATATTTGGCATGAAAAATCTTCTAATGAGTGTCTACCAAGTTTGTTCAAATAAAAGCCCTGGGATCAAAATTGGCCCCGCCCCAGGGGGTCATTGATTTTCCCTATATGCATATAGTAAAAACTTAAAAAATCTTCTTTTAAAGAACCCAAAGAGCTAGAGCTAAGATATTTGGCATGAAACATCTTCTAGTGAGTGTCTACTAAGTTTGTTCGAATATAAGCCCTGGGGTCAAAATTGGCCCCGCCCCAGGGGGGTCATTGATTTTCCCTATATGCATATAGTAAAAACTTAAAAAATCTTCTTTTAAAGAACTGTAAGAGCTAGAGCTTAGATATTTGGCATGAAACATCTTCTAGTGAATGTCTACCAGGTCTGTTCAAGTAAAAGCCCTGGGGTCAAAATTGGCACCGCCCCAGGGGGTCATAGATTTTCCCTATATGCATATAGTAAAAACTTAAAAAATCTTCTTTTAAAGAACCCAAAGAGCTAGAGCTAAGATATTTAGCATGAAACATCTTCTAGTGAGTGTCTACCAAGTTTGTTCAAATAAAAGCCCTGGGGTCAAAATTGGCCCCGCCCCAGGGGTCATTGATTTTCCCTATATGCATATAGTAAAAACTTAAAAATCTTCTTTTAAAGAACCGTAAGAGCTAGAGCTTAGATATTTGGCATGAAACATCTTCTAGTGAATGTCTACCAAGTTTGTTCAAATAAAAGCCCTGGGGTCAAAATTGGCCCCGCCCCAGGGGGTCATAGATTTTCCCTTTATGCATATAGTAAAAACTTAAAAAATCTTCTTTTAAAGAACCCAAAGAGCTAGAGCTAAGATATTTGGCATGAAACATCTTCTAGTGAGTGTCTACCAAGTTTGTTCAAATAAAAGCCTTGGGGTCAAAATTGGCCCTGCCCCAGGGGGTCATTGATTTTTCCTATATGCATATAGTAAAAACTTAAAAAATCTACTTTTAAAGAACCCAAAGAGCTAGAGCTAAGATATTTAGCATGAAACATGTTCTAATGAGTGTCTACCAAGTTTGTTAAAATAAAAGCCCTGAGGTCAAAATTGGCCCTGCCCCAGGGGGTCATAGATTTACCCTATATGCATATAGTAAAAACTTAAAAAATCTTCTTTTAAAGAACCCAAAGAGCTTGAGCTAAGATATTTGGCATGAAACATCTTCTAGTGAGTGTCTACCTAGTTTGTTCAAATAAAAGCCCTGGGGTCAAAATTGGCCCCGCCCCAGGGGGTCATTGATTTTCCCTATATGCATATAGTAAAAACTTAAAAAATCTTCTTTTAAAGAACCCAAAGAGCTAGAGCTAAGATATTTAGCATGAAACATCTTCTAATGAGTGTCTACCAAGTTTGTTAAAATAAAAGCCCTGGGGTCAAAATTGGCCCCGCCCTAGGGGGTCATTGATTTTCCCTATATGCACATAGTAAAAACTTAAAAAATCTTCTTTTAAAGAACTCAAAGAGCTAGAGCTAAGATATTTAGCATGAAACATGTTCTAATGGGTGTCTACCAAGTATGTTCAAATAAAAGCCCTGGGGTCAAAACTGGCCCCGCCCCGGGGGTCATTGATTTTCCTTATATGTGTATTGCAAAAACTTAAAAATCTTCTTTGAAAAAACCCAAATAGCTAGAGTTTAGATATTAAGCATGAAACATCTTTAAGTAAATATCTACAAAGTTTGTTCAAATAAAAGCCCGGGGGTCAAAACTGGCCCTGCCCCAGGGGTGTCATTGTTTTTAACTATATGTGTATAGTAAAAACTTAAAAAATCTTCTTTTAAAAAACCCAATGAGCTAGAACTTAGATTTTTAGCATAAAAAAACATCTTCTTATGGGTGTCTACCAAGTCTGTTCAAATAAACAAATAAAAGCCCTTGGGTAAAAATTGGCCGGGGGGTGGGGGGGGGGCTATATACAGGTGAGCGACCTCAGGGCCA